GCTGCTGATCAGTTTCATGTAGCTGCTGATCAGTTTTATGTTGCTGCTGATCAGTTTCATGTTGCTGCTGATCAACATAATGTTTTTATGAGTGCTTGGTGAATATTTAGTTGATGTTGTTCGTAGTTCACATCTTGGATGTTGTCGTTGTTTTACATGTTGTTGCTGGATGTAACTGGGACGTGAGAACATCATTTGTTCCACCTCATGTACCACGTGCGCGTGAACGACAGTAAAGTGAGTCCTGGATGTGAGAGCATGTTGTTGTGGTGCTGCAGAGATGAAGAACCGTGGGTCTTTAGTCCTGGATCAGAACCAACCTTCCTAAACTGAAAACTAACGTAGTGATCCGATCAGAACCCTAGAACCGATTGATGGTTTCTGTTTTACTGCAGAGAAGGTCTGTCTGGCCCAGTAGGAACCGGGCCAGTACTTCAATAGACTGGGAGGAACCTGATCAGAACTATCAGTTATTGATCACTGACCTGACCAGATCTTTGGTCTCAGAACTTGCTGAACAGAACCAGCCTCATTGAGTAATCCCAGAACCGGATCTGATCAGAACCGGAACTGATCAGAACCGGAACTGATCAGAACCAAGTGTAAAATCTACACCAGACTCCGTTCATTTTTCTGCTAAATAAAGATGCATTTACTACACGGAGTAAACCCGTGAATCCCGGTTCTTGACCAGCTGCAGGACCGAACCTTCAATCAGCTCGGCCGGTCGTATCGAACCGAACCTTTAACGGACTGCAGCGATTCGGTTGGACCTGGGTGGACTCAGAACACAAGACAATAAATCCCCCACGTCACGCTCTTTTCTGAACGGGGTTCGGCGGCGGCTAACTGGGTTAGCTCCGCGCGCACACAGTTCTGACCAGTCCAGCTGGACCCGGCTCGGTTCGGCGGATCGGACGGAATGATTACCCGTGAAGCCGTGTCGATCTGCATCGCTTCGGTCCGGTCCGCTGCTAGTCCTGGTTGTGACCGTGGAAACGGACCTTAGCCGAGCATCCGAGTCCAGAGCTACAGGAGTGGGGTGTTCACTTCCGGGGTAAAGGTCAAGCTCCTACAAAATAAATGTTAAATGGACTGTCCTTGTACAGCTCCTTAACTGATGGAGACACTCAGAGCTCACAATGTGTGTCTTCATGTACCCGTTCATACCCGTTCATACCCGTTCATACCCGTTCATACCCGTTCATACAGTTCATACCCGTTCATACCCGTTCATACAGTTCATACCCGTTCATAC